ATAGAAACTGCTGCTGTTTTGTCATAGCCCTGTACAAACTATCTATGACCAGTTGTTAAATACAATCTGTTCAAATGAATTTCAAGTTTCATAGTTTGTCATAAGGAAAAAAAAAAAAAATCACCCATCTCTTATTTTACCTGTGAGTGCTAAGCATCCATGATGATGGAGAAGCGCTTCTGGAGAGCTCTGTGACCTTGGCAAACAACACTTCAAAGAAGGTGTCACCTTCACCACACGTGACACTTCATGGCAAAATCAAGGCTGTCAGGTTGTGCATCTTTTCTGGTATTCTTTTCTCTTGCTCAACCCTGTGTGTATAGATGTTGTATCTAAACTCTTTGGTGATCTGCCACAGGGGTTTTTTAGCAGTCACAGGGTTTGGTTTTCTGCTTAGAGGTTGATGGTGCACATCTGTTGTTTCACAAAAGAAGCGTGCAGCTCTGCTTTGTACGCAAGCACAGATATTTCCTCTAGTCAGCAACATCTATCCATTTATAGCTGATTAATTATGGCAGCTGAACACAGCTTCTGCAGCAATCTTTGTTAATGTCAGTGAGAAGTAGTGGTTAGAGAAGAAAGAGGCATTTCATTTCTTCTTTTTCTTTTCCAAACCAAACTAAAGCTTTTTCTAGCTTGCTGTTGTACATATCTGCAAGCTGTTCAGTCATCTGTGTGCAGCCAAGTAATCTTGACTCCTGCTGCATGGCATCCTTACAGTCCAGCTGTTCAGAAACAGCTCAGATGAGAGTTTCTTTGATGCATACTATGTGTGGAGTTTTCCAAAAGGCTCTGCAAAGAGTCCAAGAACGAATGGGCACAGAGGCACCTCTTCTTCCCTAACCATAGTTGAGTTCATGCCCAGCCTGCTGTGGAGTCCCTGGGCAATACAGGGTGAAATCCAAGGCCTTTGATACTTTCTTCTCTAGCTAAAGAGACTTCAGGCCTCTAGTGACAGCACACTGGTGTACTTTGGCTTGCACTACAAAAATAAATATATAAATGGTATCAATCTAGGTGGGAGCAAAACACAAAGGAATTTTTATATTCACCTGTTATGAAGATCTAACCCATTTAACAAATTGTTTAACCTCACACCATTAATTTTTACAGCCTCCATTGCTTCTGTTATTCATATATTGCTAATTCTATCATTGCCTTGTATGCTGCTCCACAACTACTGCTCCAGACCTTGTGATTCTGGGAACAGATGCGGAATCAAGCCTTGCTCCTGCCAAGCTTTCTAAAAAGAGCTCATCCCAAGGTCTTAACTGTGCTGGCACTAGCTCTGCAGAGGCAGGGACAGAGATAGCAGGATTTATTCAAGTGTGAGCTCCAGCCCGTTCCCTTTGCTTTCTAGAAGTGGCATACAAACCAATCCATGTTGTTTTGGAAAAGTGAGAATACATCAGCCTCAACTTATGTTTTGTTTTTTTTCCTAGTGAAAAGCATTTCCTCCCTGGATATTAGAACAGTATTTAACAAATCCAGTAATCTCCTGACGCTTACCTGACCACATGAAAAAAAACTGTCTTTTGTGGGGGTTTGGGTTTTGGGTCTGTTTGTTTCTTAGTTAGTTTTTTGGGGGTTTTGTTTGTTTGTCTTTTGAAAAAGGTCCATGTGGATATTTTCTGTTTGGTTTGGGGTTTTTTTTCTGTAATTTTTATTATATTCAATTAATGTTAAATTTAATGCAAAAATATTTTGAGAATCCATTTGTAAAATGTAAAAGCCAAGAACCACTGAAACAACAAGGTATTATTTTAATATATACAAGAAAAATATAATTCATTCCTTCTCTTCCACATCCAGAAATAAATCCTATTCTTTGTTATTGTTGCCAATGCAATTGCTTACAAATCAATCTGATTTGGGGAGAAAATGGCTACCTAAAACTGAAGCTAGATGCTGCCACCCATAGGCTTGATCCACACTCTGCTTTGATTTAATGCTAGTTTAACCATACTTTTTCTGAAACCTGTTCAAACTAAACCATTTAACTTTCAGTTGGGATGTGCTGTATGAAGGATTTATAAGAAAGTCTATAATACTGCAGCTGCATCCACATAGAAGATTAATGATTAACTCAGTCATTTTCTAAGGCATTTGAGTTAGGCAGCAAAGTCATTTTTAGGCCAACCTTTGCACCAAGACTGAAATCAGGTGCCCAGGAGGACCCAGGTATGGCAGCTGCTCTGTCTGCTCCATTGCTGTGACTATACTTATGTTAAAAATCTCTCTTCCTCCTTTTAGAAACTGGTTAAAAAAAACCCAAAACAAACAAGTTAGCAGAAAATGGTCAGTCAGCCTGGAGGGGATTATCTAGGTTGATAACAATGTATTAAGCTTTGTGGTTCTCATTAAAATTAATGAGGATCGTAGGAAAATAAATTAATTCCTGAAACTGTTATGGTATTCTCAGCTCAGGTCTGTGCCTTGAATCAATGAAAATGTGTCATAAGGGCTCATTTCCTTATATCAGGGAATTAGATGGGAAAGCTTCACTTCTCCCAGTGCGAATTGCTGGCCTGGCCTCTCAGCAGAGCTCCATTCACCTATGTTCTGCACAGGCTTTAGAGGTTATAGATCCTGCCTGTGTGGAGGGATTTATTAATGTCATTATAATGCTGAATATTTGTTACCCTTGGCTCTTGCGTTCCTGCTGAGAGCCATATTTTATAGCTGTGGGTTCTGCTAGCTCACAAATAAAGGTCAACAGTTGAATGCTGTGCAGTTTCTGGCATCCTGCGGTGTGTGAAGTGCAGAGTTTGGGTGCTCTCTCTTGATTGTCCACAATAGCAAAATAGGAGTTTGGTAACAAATTAGATTCTTCTGGGCTCTCTCCCTGGAAAATGTCTTCGTTTCCAGAACGTCTTAATCTAGGAAATAATTACTGCTGCTTTTCTTGTTGCCTATTAGCCAATTATGCCTGCTTAAGACATAGCTGAAATAAATTAGACGAGACATAAGCCAAAGATTTTGTGGTTGTGTGAACTGAGGACAGGAATGTGCATCTGATCACTTGTACTTTTTGATTCTGTAATTTGTGTTTGGGAATTGAAGTAGTGAAGGAATCTATCCTCTTATCTCTAGCTAGGGGAGAAATACCCATGTTTTTCTATGGAAGATGTAACAAGAGTGTTTACACTTGGCAGGAGCAGTTCTACCCAAAACCTGTGCTTTGTGTAAGCCCCTCCCTGAAACTTTTAGAAAGAAACGTACTTGCAGGATATTCTTGTCCAGCTTGGTTTACCTGCTTTCCTTCCACCTGACAGAGAAGCAGTGGGTCTGTTGCTGTGTTTCAGAGTACAGCTCAGCCAAATGCCTCCCCTACTGCTACCATAAAAGCCAAGAGACAGCTGTGTAGTGGAGCTGACAGCCCCTGTAAGTCTCCTGTAAACTCCTACCTCCCGCCCCAGGGTTTCCTTGTCTTTGCCAGCTTTCTCTGCTTTCCCCTGGTAGGAAATGCATGCTGCAGGGCTGGCTGGGAGGCTGAGCAGGCTCAGCTGGAGGAGTGGAGCGAGCTTACCACATCCCGTTGGTCAATGGTGAGGCTTACATGCATTGTTTTGTAGCGTTCAGCTCCCTAATATCACAATCAGCAGAAACATGGAGTCCCCACAGAGATTGCATTGATTTTTGATTGAATCTATCTTAAGCTTCAGGACTGACTGGAAGGGACCGTGAAGGGTTGCTATGCTGAATAACAGAACAGCTGCATTGGTTTTGGACTCAGACTTATGTGGTTGTCTTACCTTGCTGATGTGGCAAAACTTCAGGTACCCCTGCTGAGGCCTGGCACTCACTTTAACTCATGATCCACGTTTCAGGTTCCGCCTTGGCACCTTCTCAGGTATGAGACTTGACAATCCAGGACTTCACCTAATTCCCTTGTCTTTAGCCCTGATACAAATGTCACTCTGCAGGAACTTCTCTTGTTTTCAGTGGACATGTCCAGTTCAGCTATCATATAATTTTCCTGATCCATATTACATCACTAAGCTATTACTTTCTCAGTTTTATCTGTAGCATGCAAATAGCTTAATGGATTGATGGCATTAAGAATTCTGAGATCAAATTCTCAACTTCTTAGTGAATCAGAAAACAAGTTGGTAAACATGCATTTAATAGTAGGATGTTTTGAAAGGGACGCAATGGCCGAGTGCCCAAGATGAAAGTTAGACGAAATATCTATGAGTGAAAAAAGTATTGTAGATCTTGTTTCCATCTTCATTAGATACTCTTACCTTGGATGCTGAAGCTTCTTGGTAGAAGGAAGGAGGAGAGAGTCCTCTGCCTTGCTTGGCTGCTGTATTTGGCAGCTAACGTCAGAAGAGACAATGAACACTCTTGGAAACTCTAGTTGCCTTTGTCTCGGTAAATTCCAGGATCTGCTACTTCTGTGACATTGTCATCAACTGAAAAATACAAGTTTTTAGAAAAAAAAAAAGAAAAAGAAGAAACCTTTCTGGTCAAAGTCACGTAAAAATATGTATACTGGAATTTGGAACATGAATCAAAAATTCTGGCAGGGAGATTTACTTAAAAATTAGAGTTACTCTGGGAAGTTTGTATACCAGCAAGTATGATGTCTAAAGGGTGACTTAAAAATTAATATAGTAAAGTTACTACTAATTAATCAGGATTGGTATTTGTCTGGTACACTGACAGTACTTTCTCTGCCAGTGCAAACAATCTGTGTGTGGAGTTTCTGGGCTCAGTATAAGCACAATGGCATTGTTGACCCGTGTTCTGTTTCAACTGCAACTATGCCTCGTTTAAAAAAAGAAAAGGGAGAAGTATATTGATTTCTTATACCTAAAGAGTTGCATTCCAGAAGTGTTAATCCCTTTAATATTCAAATGTGTTTCATGTATTTTTACATGTACAGGATGGATAACAAAGAGGGAGAAGATAATTTATCTTTACTTAAATAATTACTCCTAATTATTTACAATATAACAGACAATCAACTAAATAGCTTTGTTTCTCTCCTGCAGCCTCCTCCTCAGATATATGATAAACAGCTGGATGAAAGGGAACATACAATTGAGGAATGGAAAGGTAATCACAGTTTAGAATTATATGGGAAGGGGTATTTCAGTGGCAAAATGGCCATGTCCCGCCACCAAGTGCATCTGTGTAAAACGAAAAGAATTCCTTTGATGTAAAGAATTGACACTAGCCCTATGAACTGGTGCTTTGGTAGCAAAAATGTAAGAAATGTCCTGAGGACTATCATTATCTACACAGGTAAATGTTAACACAGGAGGTGCAGATTCCAGTGCTTCATTGAAATCTAAGGATATCACTTGGAGAACA